TATTTAAAAAGCAAACGTCTCGGTTGCTAAGAAAACCGGTTAATCGTTTCTGCAATTATTTCACATTGATTCTCTAAAACAAATTTTCGATGTATTCTTAAAATGCATAAACCTAAAGGTAAATTTTATAGGAAATTTAAGTAACAATTTATTAAAACTAGTAGTAACCCCCGAAATACGGGTGAGTACTTAGCTCAAAATTTATTTAAAGAACTTCGTGAAAGACAGCAATTAATCTTGTATTGCTAGACACCTGATAATCCAGGATAATTTTTAAGTTCTTAAAACACATTACTCCACTCTAAGCTTCGTGCAGTGGGCCATCAGGAAACCGTCATTTTTAAGGTATAGTCCAACCTTACACAATATCTGGTATTAGTCTTAATCTGAAACGCAATGATCATTGAAAATTTGCGCCGTTTGTGACGAAAAGCATTTAATATCACACTTTCAAACTAAAGCTTTCTTAGCCCTAGAAGCCTAATCTATTTGGGAGCAACGTAAAGCCTTAACATACGCCTTAGAGGCTTATGTACTTAAGAGATAACCTGTGAGTTAAAATATACTTAGTCCTGCTTTACTTTGTAAAGAATATTGAAGTTGTGAGTTTGACTAATAATAAATCAAAGTTTTATTAATAAAAACTATAGCCACATTTATTTAACACAACAAAATAAAGTAAATTTTGTGTTAAAATTAAAAAAAGACCCATTCCGTATACGCCTCGCAGACGTAGATTATACTTTTGGGGTTAACCCTTTCAGTACAAAAATTCAACCACTGGTTCTAAAAAAATTTAAATATGTATACCGGCTAATTTTGGATCGTTCATTTTAAAAATCATATACAAAAATGTGTAAATGGTCAGTGATATCCTAGGTGTTCAAAAAAGGGATTTCTGCTATTTTTACCTCCCTTTTATTAGCTCGGGATGTAATTATGTAATATTGATGGACGATTCTAACGAATAATAGACACCAATATTAGGCTTATTTGTTGTGCCTTAATATTATGTTGCGGTAGACGTGTGCACAGTTTTCAGTGTCTGTTTTGAAATTCATCCTTTTATCATTAGGGGTGTTCACAATGTGAAGCATTTCTAATATTAAGCGTTTGTGGTAATTTTTCTCTTCTTCTACTCACACTCACATTATCAAAATCGGTGTGTCTTTACAGTGGGATGACAAGGCCGTCTTGTTGTCTGAGTAAGTATTCCTCAATTTTACGTTCGATTTGTGAGCGGAAATCCTTGTCTTAAGTTTTGATTTGGTTGTCCCCACATATACTTGTTTGCATACGTGGGACCCGTCGCCATTA